TTTCTTTCTTTCTTTCTTTCTTTCTTTCTTTCTTTCTTTCTTTCTTAATAATATTACAAATTATTAACATGTCTATTGTTACACAGTGCTCCCAATGAGCCATGCAAAACCCAGGCATTGTCCCAAGGAACCAAATTTAGAAACTTATCTAAAATTCAACCCAGGAGGACTATGTAAGGCACAGTAAACCAGGGAAGCATCCTGATTTCAAACAGAAGCTGCCATCTTGATTTCAGGGGAGGGAGATCAAAATTAAGGCTGATTCTCCTTTGCTTGATCGTCAGAAAGCTTAGAAATGTCCATGTTTTAACCAAAGGCAGGGGGTCAAACTCAGAGTAAAGGAGGGAGCAAGACCCTGCCGTGTTTTATATTGCCATGGCAGCTGTTTCTCCCACCCCCCCACCCCCCCCCTTTCGAGCCTAGAACTTCTGAGCGTTCACCCCAGAAGGTGCTCAGCACGGTCGTCTTCCAGCTGTCCGAAAGGATGAAGGAGCTGCAGGAGCAGAACGAAAGGCTGAAAGCAGAGATGGACCACGCTCTGAGCAGCTTCCTCTCCTCCAGCCAAGCCAAAAGTAAGCACCCTGACCGCTCTAACAAGTCCCCAAAGCGGCGTTTCTCAACCTCGGCCCCTTTTAAGGTGGGTGGACTTCAGCTCTGCTGGCTGGGGAATTCTGGGTCTCGAAGTCCACCCACCTTCAAGCGACCAGGGTTGGGAAACGCTGCTCAGAGGGAACCAGGCGTGGTTTAACGAGACTTCACCAGGAGGTCTACTATGGCGTGGACGAACACTCTAAAAGACACAAAACGTTTGTGGGAGCAGAAAGCTGCGGGAGATCCAGAAAGAATCGGGGATTTGCCACATGAAGGGATTCCTGCGTCTCTCGCAAAGCCTGGTGAAAAACTTCCTTGCTCAGGAGGAAGCAAGGCAGGACTTCCCTCTCCCTATAGCTGATGTCATTGTCTGAAAATTTCTCATTTATAGACCTCCTGTGGTCAACTCATAACACATTCCTAGGCCTCTTTTCGTAGTTGCCATAAACAAAAAATGGGGGAGGGGGTAGAGGAAGGAAATCTGGGAGAACAGTGCAGCAGTTTGAAATCAATAGTATATTCCAACTCTTCTCTTTAAAAGATTGTAACTAAAGTACCAGAGCTTTTGCCTGCGAATATATTTCATTGGAGAACATGATTGATGACACTCACGTTCAATGGGGGAATCTGGTTTATGAGACACCCAGAGGGGAGGAGGGAAACAGGGTCAGAGGGGACTGTGAACGACATAGGCCAGAGTTGGCTTCATACAGGGCAGGGCCAGTAGGTCGCCTCTAGTGAATCCTTTGAAGTTTTTTGAAGTTTGGCTCAAGAATCATGTGTCAGCTTTTAAATTCAGCTGCCACATAATTCAAGGGGGGTGGAGGAGTTGAAAAGTTCAAGGTTATTCTGTATGTCGTACTAAGAAATTCCAGTTGCAGTTAATTGGTTCTCATGATTTATGAAGTGTAGAAGTGGGAGGAGAGAAGGTGGATTCTGTGTAACGGCGCGAAAATACTTTCACTTTGGGAAATTGCCTTAGACGTACCAGATCTGTTCCTAAATAAATCAATTGGAGAGAATGTGTCTTGGAGTGATTGACATCATGGATACTTTCTGGATGCCTTACACCATGATTTAATTAGGGCGATAGCTGGAATCCTGACACCTATCCTATTGTGTGGTGTGGTGGACTAGAGGTGGAGCTCTTGCCTCACAATTAGGAGGCTGTGAGTTCGATCCTAGGTAGAGGCAGATATGAGATGAGAATTAATCTGCTGAATATAACTCGGCGCTGGCAACAGGAAGGGCATCCGGCCAGGAAACACTCACCTCCTTTCGGTTGCCCAGACGCCACCCTGCAAGGGATTACGGGGTTGTTCAAAGATGATGATAGACCTTCTTCCTATCCCTCCTTCTTTGTCTCACCCTGCTCTCATCCTTGTGCACATCGCAGGCACTTGAACGGTGCTCAAACTCTAACAAGGGAATATGCACTTCTAGCTTTTACAACCAGCACCCTTCTGATGGCTGATGGGCCTTGGTCCTTTGTTTCTCTCCCATTTTGAAAACTCTCTTCCTTTTCCTTTAGATTACGTTGCTCGCCAGAGGCAGAAACTGATCCAGCTGATTTCTACTGGGGAAAAAGTAAGTGAGAGTTACTTCCTGAGCAAATTGGCTGCTAACCATGTTCAGCGGGACACTTGCACGTGTTCTGACCAAGGCTTCCAGAGACCGTAATTAAGCGCACGCTTATTAAAACAGCTCTCTTTTTATTTCAACGGCTGGGAATTAAGTTCATTCCCAGCTCGTAATGAGTCCCAAACAGCCCCTCGAGATAAGCACCCGCCTTTCTCTCCTCTGAATTGCTGCCAACAATCTAAAGTGCCAAATTAACTGGAAAAAAAAACCCGACCGAAGTACAAAGTCCCCACAGAGCTTCAAGGTTTAATACGAACACAATGAACGACTTTGCTTCCTGCAAAGGTTCCATCACCTTTGCCTATCCTTTATACCTTAGGGGAGAGGCAGTCACCTCCCAGCCTTACTCCCGAGTCTCCCCTTTTGGTTCAGTTGCTCCCACCTTCTGGCAGCTCTGAGCAAGCGCGCACTGGGAACAGGCTCCCATGGGTCCTCTGCCTCGCTGCTGCCAGAGTCCAGAGGCTCCGGAGGCAGCACCCTGCTCCCAGGTGGTCCTGGCTCCATCTCTGCAGCACCCTCATCCAAGTCCTCTCCAAACTTCCCTGTTCTTCCCCACACTGCCCGATTTTGCTGCCATCTGCACAGGCTGCCACCGATCCACAACAGCACGAGCCTTGATGAAGAACCAGAAGTCCAGGATTTCACTTTCTTAAATACAGCATGATGTTTATCAAGTGAGAGATGATGGTTTCAGGGTCCACCGTGCCATCTTTTGCGAGATGGCCTGGATCACGGTTTGCCTGTGAATTACAGACAAAGGTCAGAAGCTGCTGACCAGGATTGGTTTTTTTGGGGGGGGGGGGGGGGCCACCGGAAAGGAGAAATTCCACGCTGCTTCCAGCTTGTTCCTAACTCCAGAAAGCCGTCAAACTTAAGAGCAACCGCTAGTAATTGGCTCTGTTTTCCAATCTCTCCCTTTCACCTCTTTGGACTACAATGCCCAGCATCCCCAGAGGCAGGTAAAAGATAGGAAAGGCTGCATATTGTAGAAGGCTGCTTAGATCTTTTTTTGGGGGGGCCCAGCTGAACTGCTTCCCATTAAAGCACATTTTATTTTTCTTGTGCTTCCAGCTCAATAGATAAGTGGAGAAGGAGGTAACTTGCAGAGTTATGTTCCAGGTGGTAACTATTTCTTCTCTCTCTTTCTCTCCCTCCCTCCCTCCCTCCCTCTCTCTCTCTCTCTCCCCCTCTCTCTCTCTCTTGTTTTCCCCCAGGAAATGGAGGATGGGTTGCGGCCTTCAGAGGCCAGCAGGGCGCTGTTGCTCTCTCCCACAGCTTCTGAAGAAGTGGATCACTCGGTTGCTAAGGAATCCGATCTCCCAGAAGTGGGTGAAACTCACGGCAAGACGGTCCTTGCGGGGCTGAGAGACCATATTCTCGTCCTTCAGAACCAGCTGGCAGTTAAAGAGTTACGTTTCTGAGGCTCAACCAACACAGCCCAGATCCCATTTATTGAAGATTTGGGGGAGAAACCACCCCACTTTTCCTTTCCCCCCCCCCCCCCCCCCCACTTTTTCCACCAGTCAAAAGCGAATAGGATGCCCAGCCCAGAAAAAGCTGCTTTGAATTCAGCAAGGACATGCCAGAGCTGTCTTTTCCCCTAGTTATTCCTCCCTCCTTCTCCTTCTCCTCACCAAGTTAGTGGAATTTGTGAGTTCCTTCAGCCTGCTAAGAAGCCCAGATGAGCCCTGGCAAGAACTGCACTGAAGGAAGAAACGTGAGCCTGGCCTTAAAATGGATTTTTTTTAAAAAAAAAGAAAGAAAGAATCCAGCAGGCAGCCCAAATTTATTGGTAAAGTCTGACCTCCCCTAATCAGTACGCGCTAGAGCTGCGATGGTGAACCTATGCATGGTGCAGGAAGTGGCGCACACAGCCGTTTCCGCCAGACCCCCTGAGCATGCACGCGTGCCTCCCGCCAGCCAGCCTCTGTGCAGGGGAGCGGGGTGTTGCACAAGCATTGCATTATAGGTGTAGGCACACGTGCGTGCGCGCACACTTTCGGCACACGGCGACGAAAAGGTTAGCTGAACTCTTAACTGCACTAGAGATTTGGGGTCGAAGAGTAGCTGGGTGTCTCTGGAGGTGCGGGGGATGTGAACCCCCCTTTCTAAGATCTAAACCAGGATTCCAGATCCGGGTTGTAAGTCCCCTTTCTCGGGCAGGTTGCAATTTCTAACGGTCTCTAAGCGAGAACCGCTATACAACACGCCCCGGGGAGCGTCTGTCGAATCACAGTCCTTCAGAATATCACCACCCGGGTTTGATTCTTCGGTCTGAAAGGCTGGCTGTGCAAATGATCCGTGCCGTCCTTCTGCAGGGCAGAAATCCAGCAGCTCAGAGGGAAGTTGAGAGAACTGGAAGGAGACCACGAGGCCCCCTGCAGACAGGCTGGGATTGATGGGACACAACCTCCAAATCAGGTGAAAAAGAAGATCTTGCGCAGTAAGCAAGTAAGCATCAACAGGAAAGTTCTTCCAAGTTTTACAGCTCACCCTCTCAAGCCTCCAGCACTCTTCCCCCCACACCCCCGCACACCCCCCTAACCCCCCCCCCCCCCCCCCGTTACTATGGCAGCTGGAAAGACAAGCTGAAACCAGAAGAAGGAATCTTGAAGGCTGACATTATGGCTCTGTTCGTAGCAAAAGGTCAGGTCCACACGTGAAGGTCCAGTTTAACTGATTGACTGTCATTCATGCCTGTGTACAAGGTCCTAGGAAGAGTAGATATTTCTCTCCCCGGGCATAATGAGAACGTATCTGCTGAATAAAACTCCTCATTGGTGACAGGAAGGGCATCCGGCCTGTAAACAGCTCCACTCAGTTGCCCAGGCGCTACCCTGCAAGGGATTATGGGGGGTCGTTAAAAGTTGTTGATGCCTGCGTACAAGAATCTTCTCAACTCACGGTTAGCAACCTGCTAGGAGTTAAGAGAAGGGTCAGCGGGATTCAAGGAAGGTTGGGCTTGTTTGTGGTAACATAAGGATTCTAGGCTGACCCCTCTTTTAACTCCACCACCCCCTCAGGTTCTGTGAACTGTTACAAATTCGGTCTTTCCCACCCTTAGCAACATTCATCTAATGTGGACTGCAACTCCCAGAGTTTCTGACTTACGCGGTCATCACTTAATGACAATATATCGGGACAGTCAGAACTGCTGTTGCTAGTCACGTGGTACGTGCTTTACAACCACATCGCTTTGCGACAGAAGTCTGGTCCCATTTACTGTCATTAACTGAGGACTCTCGGTAGACCCAGCTCCTGAATCACTGCAGGCTTTGGGGTTGTTACGACGACTTTTCCAAACCTCAAATCCTGCGCCAGATTGCTGGTACGTCAATTGTGGTCTCTCCGCCGAAGACTTAAGGAATGTCTACAACTGAGCACAGAAGCATCCCAGCAATTTCAATTCAGGTCCTGATCCCCCTGCTTGTTCCACTCCTAGGCTCCAGATCCATCTCCCGGGCTCTGCCCTTTGCCTGGAGTTGTTGACTGCAAAACAGGGGAGGAAGAGGAGGAGGAGGAAGAGGAGGAAGAGAAGACAGCAGCCGCGAGACTCGTTCGATCTGATGGTTTTAATGGAGCAGCAACCCAGCCCGGCTTGTCCTTCAGGCTGAATGTCCATGGAGATTCACAGCCTTCCAGGTGATGGTTGCCCCAAAGGCAACGGGGCTTTTTGGTTTTTCTCTCGAAGATGTTTCGCTCCTTGTCCAAGAAGCTTCTTCAGCTCTCGCCGGATGGTGAGGAACGGAAGGATTTGTATTCCTTGCGGACAGCTGGTCCTTTGCATCTTTTCAGAGGGTCGTTGAGGCCACTTGGACCTGGAAAGCTCCACACTCGTTGGAGCACTCAGGTGACCCCGAAGACACGGATAAACCTCCCAGTGGCCTCAAGGGCTCTCTAAAAAGGATGCCAACGACCAGCTGCCTGCAAGGAGTATAAATCCTTCCATTCCTCACCATCCGGTCAGAGCCGAAGAAGCTCCTTGGATGAGAAGCGAAACGTCTTCAAAGAAAAACCAAGGAAGTCCAGGTGCCTCTTGAAAAGAAAAACACTTTTGCAATTTAGCAGGAATGCGTAACTTTCGAAGCGGAGCTCGCATTTCAGAATCAAGCTCATTTTCACGCGCTGCAGGGTGGGAAACATTGAAAATCCCCTTGATTTTTGGATCTGAGCTTTCCCCGAGGAGTTATCCGATCAGAGGCGTCCCAACCTTGGCAACTTTAAGGCCCGGGGACTTTTAAACTCCCACACTGGCTGGGGAATTCTGGGAGTTGAAGTCCACAAGTCTGAATTCAAAGTTGCCAAGGTTGGACACTCCTTGTCTAGACGCAAGTTGGTCTGCGTCCTTTATATATTACCAAGAAGTGGAATCCAAATCATTCCAGCCAGAAGGCATTCCTCCACCCAACCCCCAGGCCGAGTTGCTCACCAGCTGTTGCAGCTACACAAACACACACATACCCGCAGCAGCCGGCGGTGGCTCAGCTCTGCAGCAAGTGCGTGGATTTGGATCGGAGGCAGGGATGGAATTGATGGCTTTTTATTGACTTGCTGGGCCAGGAATTCTGGGAGTTGAAGTCCATAAGTCATAAAAGGGCCGTTGTTCTCCCCCACCCCTGGTTTAGAGGCTGCCTACCCTGGCATCCCAAGCCAGGCCCGGAGGCCTCACCTCCTTGGTAGAGATCCATCAGGTTCGCCTTTCCCCCAGCCTGAGCATTCTCCCCTAGCACAGCTTCAAAGGGTTTCGATTGTGGTGCGTTTCTGTAGGGCAGCAAATGGATTTGCTCTCCTCCCTTCCCTTCCCTCCCCCCACCAGTGATGTATTGCCCCCTCCCTCCCCTTCCCAGGGACCATCTCTCTTCCATTATATGTTCTGCACCCAGAAGCTAATCTGAGGTCAGAAAGAGCTCGCTTGACCTTGAGCCCGGAAGGCTGGAGAGAATTCTTATGCAGATCTCCTCTCTCTCTCTCTCTGACTCACCCCTTTGGAATCTGAGCTTTTATGACTTTTGCCCCCTACCACTTTATCTTTTTCAGGCCTCTCCCCTCCAGTCCTGAGAAGGAGAAAGCCTCCGAGGAAGAAAAAGTGGGCTGGTCTCTGTTCAAATTCTCCCCTCTGGTCTTCACTTCCAATTCTGGTAATTCCGCTGACTTCCCCTTAGATGTTTTTTGAAAACCTTTGCTTGATTTCTTATTTTGCACGTTTCTTTTGACACGTTGGATTGACTAATTCCCACAGCACCGTCACCTTATTTACTAAGACCGCGTTGCTGTTCTTCTCATCCTTCCTAGTATCTATCTCTTCCCACTGGCTTGCAACCGTGTTGCTTGTATCTTTACCGTTTATGCTGTTTTATTTGTTCCTTAGTAGGATTTTGATTGCTTGTTAGTAACCTATGACTCTCATTAAGTGGTGAATCTTATGATTCTTGATGAATGTATTTTATTTTTCTTTTATGGACACTGAGAGCATTTGCACCAAAGACAAATTCCTTGTGTGTCCAGCCATACTTGGCCAATAAAGAATCCTGTTTTGTTCTATTCTATTCTATTCTATTCTATTCTATTCTATTCTATTCTATTCTATTCTATTCTATTCTATTCTATTCTATTCTTACTCCTACTCCTATTCTTATTCTATTCTGTTTCTGTTCTATTCTATATTCCAATATCCTATCTGACTGTTTCCTAGTATGATTTAATTTGATTGCTTATTGTACCCCATGACTATCATTAAGTGTTGTTGTACCTGATGATTCTTGACTCTTTTATTTTGTGTACACTGAGAGCATTTGCACCAAAGACAAATTCCTTGTGTGTCCAACCACACTTGGCCAATAAAGAATTCTATTCTCTTCTGTTTCACAATGGCCGGTTTCCTCCCTTGGATCTTCGGTACAAAGCTGATTTCATTTGAAACCTGGATACAGAAATGGGAGGGTTAACTTCTCTTGTTTGCTTGGCTTGGGGAGGGCAATACAGGACCAGATCTTCCCTTTGAAGCTCACGATTTGAAGCCGTGTTTCTCAATGTTGGCAACATTAAGCTTGGGAAGGACTTCAACTCCCAGAAACCCTAGCTAGCCAGAGAAAGCTTAAGGTTGCCAAAATAAAGTAAAAGTATCCGAGAAGGAAAGGAGGAAGGACAAACTATTGGAAAGGTGAAGGGCAAGTTAGGGAAAAACAGTAGATCCTGGCCAGGGGATCTCCCCCTTACCATCAGAACCCCTATCTTCTAATCTTGTGTCCAGCTGGGGAAAGAAATTCCCCCCTAAGAGATCAGTGGAGACCCATCTCTGAAGATGCCAACTCTAGTAGACCAGGCCTTTTATTCAGACAGGAAATTGGCCGGTGAATTAAGCCAGTCGGCTTGTCATAGGTGGCTTCCTCATTCGTCCTAAGGAACGTTTCCCATCTGAGAACAAGAAGCCAGTAGCAGAGAAGCCAGAGATGGTGGTTTAGTGGTCGGGTTGTCGTCGGTAATGTCTGCAAGCTCCTCTGAGAATCTCCCGGTCTAAAAATGGCCGTTCTTGTTCCCTCCTCCCCCCACAAAAGGCATCGTGTCTCTGTTCCTTTCGATGAGCTCCGCTTCTCCTTTCTTTCTTTCTTTCTTCCCAGCTACGGCCTCCCACGATCAGCAGCAAGCTTCCTCCACAAACCTCAACCACCCCGGGGCTGAGTCAGACGACTCAGATGAGATCATCACTGTTATGTCTTCCTTCCCGTGAAGGACACCTCATCGCCCGGCTCTGGCAGTTCTGTGTCACGTCCTCTGGGGCGCTCGCTCCCGGTTGGTGAACCAAAGGCATCTTAGTTTGCGCCCACCCCCCCCCCCCCCCCCCCCCCAATAGAAGTAGTGGGACCCATAAATGTAGCCATGAGGGATGTGGTGGCTCAGTGGCTAAGATGCTGAGCTTGTCGATCAGAAAGGTCGGCGGTTCGAATCCCCAGCGCCGCGTGACAGAATGAGCTCCCGTTCCTTGTCCCGGCTTCTGCCAACTTAGCAGTTCGAAAGGACGTTAAAAAATGCAAGTAGGGAAACAGGGACCCCTTGGGTGGGAAGGGAACAGCGTTCTGTGCGCCTTTGGCCATTGGGACGGTCGCTAAACAGATAGTTGAAAGTCAAGGACTACCTATGACATGGTCGGAAGCAAGTCACTCAGGCCAAACTTCTCTTTTATTTAATTTGTGTTGAATTCGGCTGCCATTCGCAGCTGTATTTATTCCTGCCCCCCGCAATGCAGTTCTTTAAATGTCCAACTTCCATTGTTCACCACCACCACCCCAACATGACCCCCAAATATTCAGGTCTTCCTCTGCTGCTCCCATCCCGGTGGCGTCAGAGAAAACTGGCGCGCTGAAAGAGCCCGTTGTGTGTCACTGCTGTTGGCTGGGCAAGCGCCTCACAAGCCTTTTTAAGGGTCGCAGAGGCCTTTGGAAAGAAAGTCAAGAGGCCAAGCTGTGTCCAGCAAGATGGGGACAATTTTCTGTAAGCAATAAAAGATAAAGGAGTTTAAGTCATGTCTGGCCGTTAGCTTTTTCCATGTATTTATTTTTTAAAAATCAGAAAGAAAAGAAAAAAAATAGTCCTTCTGCAATCTCTGTTCTCCCTCCTGCAGGAGACAGAAGTTAAAATGTTGTTTTCCCGAGCATGGAGAAAGTTGCTTGTTTGCCTTCCAGACAGCCTCTTTCCCCGTTCAGCCTAAAGATGTTGGTCTCTCTCCTGACCCCGAATGCTCGTCCAGTCACAGAACAGGGCCGGGTCTTTATCTCTGGCTGACCGTCCTTCTCTGCAGTCGAGAAGGAGAGCCCCACCAGGCGAGACCTGCGGAATCCAACAGTGGAAACCTTCCCAGATATAGGATTCCCCGAGAGGCAGGTGCTGGAAGCCATCCAGAGCAGAGGCAATGGAGGAGGAGGAGGAGGAAGGAGGAGGAGGAATGGCGGTTTCACCATTTGCTGAGCCTGGCAGATAAAATCCAGCTGCTCTTTCTATTAGCACGGTGATCGTCCCCACCAAAGGGAACCACGGCACGCTTTCTAATCCCGTCGGTTTTTTCCCGGGACGAGACTGTCCATGGTTCACTTGCTAACAACATTGGCTCAGCTGGTGTCTTATTAATTTGGAGGCAGGGTGAGCGAGCTGTAATTAACCTCCAAGAAGCTTGTCTTAGCAGGGCTGGGGGAATTCTTGGACTTCATTAGATCAGTCAAGCCAAGACAGGAGCAAAATATTTCCCAGACTTTATTCCTCAGGGGTGGGGGAAAGCTAACCCGGGATGAGTCATTTGATGGCACCAGATCCTCTTTCTCACAACAGCGAGCAGCAACGTAACAAAAGCTCTTGCAAACAGGAGGCAAGGAAGGGAGAGAGTTGCGTTTCCGACGGGATTGAGCCTTCCTTAATCTAAGGGGGTTCTTGACAAGGGAAGTCTACGTAAAACCCCTCAACCCAACCCAACCCAACCCAACCCAAGAAACTGGCTTGCTTCTAGTTTGGCTTCCGCTGTCCAGAGTGACAGTAACGTGTTACATCACTTGTTTGGCACAAGGCTGCCTGTTGGGAGGTCTGGCTGTGTGTGAGAGCCAGTTTGTTTCACACCCTTGTGAAATGTGCTTCTGCGGCTTGGGGAATGCTTTCAGGCAG